AGCTTTTTTCTTGTAATTGAGTTCTAGTTCCATACCATTGTGGTTGGAGAAGATGCTTGATATGATTTCAATATTCTTAAATTTATTGAGACTTGTTTTGTAGCCTAATTGTGGTCTATCTTGAAAAACTATTCCATATGCACATGAAAAAAATGTATATTCTGCTGCTTTGAGACAAAATGCTCTGAAAATATTAATTAAATTCATCGGTCTAGTGTGTCATTTAAGGCTGCTGTTTTCCTGTTTTCTGTCTGTAAGATCTATCTATTGATGTCAATGGGGTGTTAAAAATCCCCTAGTATGACTGTATTACTATTGATTTCTCACTTTATGTGCATCAAGATTTGCTTTATAAACTTAGGTGCTCCTATGTTGGGTGCATAATTGTTTACAAAGGTTATGTCCTCTTGTTGGAGTGATCCTTTTATCATTATGTAACATACTTCTTTGTCTTATTATAGCCTTTGTTTTAAAGTCTATTTTGCCTGATTAAGTATTGCTATCCAAGGAGTTTTCTTCCATTTGCATGAAATTTTTTTTTTATCCCTTTACTTTCAGTCTGCGTGTGTCTTTTGATCTGGAGTGGCTCTCTTGTAGACAGCGTACATATGGGTCTTGTTTTCTTATCCATTTAGCTATCCTATTTATTTTTAATCCTCACCTGAGAGAGAGAGTGAGAGAAAGAGAGAGAGAAGCATTGATTGGTTGCCTCCTATACACACCCTGACTGAGGATTGAATCCACAATCTAGGTATGTGCTCTGACCAGGAATTGAACCCACAACCTTTTTCGGTGCACAGGATGACACTCCAATCAACTGAGCCACCCAGCCAGGGCTATCCTGTGTCTTTTGATTGGAGAATTTAATCCATTTACATTTAAAGCAATTATTGATAGGCTTATTGCCATTTTGTTATTCATATTTGTCGAGTTTTTTCTTCTTAAAGAAATCCCTTTAACATTTCTTGTAATACGAGTTTGGTGGTAATGAACTACTTCAGCTTTTCCTGGGGAACTCTTTATCTCTCTTTCAATTCTAAATGATACCCTTCATGGGTAGAGTCATCTTGGCTGTAGGTCCCTTCTTTTCATCACTGAATATTTTGTACCAATCCTTTCTGGCCTGAAAAGTTTATGTTGAGAAATCAGCCAACATTCTTATGGGATCTCCCTTATAGGTAACTAACTATCTTTCTCTTGCTGCTTTTAAGATTCTGTCTTTAACTTTTGCCATTGTAATTATGACATGTCTTGGTATGGGCCTCTTTGAGTTCATTTTGTTTGGGACTTTCTGCACCTCTCGGACAGGATGTCTGTTTCCTTCAAGTTAGAGAAGTGTTCAGTCATTATTTTTTCAAATAGGTTCTCAATCCCTTGTTCCTTCCCTTTTTTTTTCTGGCACCCCTATGATGTGAATGTTGTGAGGCTTGATGTTGTCCCAGAGGTGCCTTAAACTATCCTCTTTTTTAAAAAAATCTATTTTGTTTCTGTTCTGATTGAGTGTTTCCTGGTACCTTGCATTCCAAATCACTGATTTGATCATCTGTTTCATCTAATCTGCTGTTAATTCCCTATAATATAATCTTCATTTCAGGTACTGTATTCTTCATTTCTGACTGGTTCTTTCTTATGGTTTCTATGTCTTTTCTTATGTTTACTGTTTCTTTGTTGAAGTTCATACCAAGTTTCTTGAGCATCCTTATAACCAGTGTTTTAAATTCTGTACCTGGTAGATTTCTTGCCTCCATTTTATTTAGTTATTTTTCTGGGGATTTTATCTGTGCTTTTACTGGGATATATTTCTTTGTCTCCCCATTTCGGCTAGATCTCTGTGTTTGTTTTTATGTGTTACATAGATCTGCTATGTCTCCCAGTCTTTGCAGTGTGGCCTTATGTGGTGTTCTGTGGGGTTCAGCAACACAGTCTCCCTGATCACCTGGGCCAAGTGTCACTTGAGTGTGTTGATCCTTGATTGCTGTTGGCATGTTAGCAGGTGGGATTGACCCTCAGGCTGACTGGCTGTGAGCATTGGCCACAACAACCACAAAGTAAGAGCTGTTGTATGGAGAGCTGGCCCCATGGCATAGGATTAGTCCTAGTGGGGTCTGGTGCCTGCTGAAACTACCCTTTGGGTGTGCCATTTGTGGAACTAATAGAGTGGTGCTCTGTTGTGGTCTGAAGCCAACTACCGGGTATGGCGTTGGTTCTGGGGCCTCTTGAGAGGGACTCCAGGGCAGGCCAATGTTAGACGCTACCTATTACCAGCCTGGGGCTACCTGTTAGGAACCACAAAGTGATTCACAGTTGGTAGCTTTCTATACCAGGCCTGGATTGTGCTTGAGATAGGCTATGCAGAGATCCAAGACCAGTTGCCACCAGTATTCAAGCACAAGGAACCCTGAGACCTGCCACTACCTGCTGGCTACCCATAAAGTTTAGCCATTAAAAAACCCTCTGGAGGTACATGAGTTGTTTGAGGTAGAGTCTCAGGGAGTCACCAGGGTTCGGTGAGTAGTGTTTACCAGGCTAATGCAGATTAAGATTTCGCACCAGTGCTGAGTCTGAGGCTACTCAGCAAAAGTCTCATTACAGTACCTGAAATGAAGATTATATTATGCTGGGTCCAGATGCCACCCACCTGAAGCCTGCAAGTCTTTGCAATGGGTTGGGATCTCAGGGAGTTGTCAGGGTGGAGCTGGGGAAGAAGCAAATGCAGATTTAGATTTGGGCATGTGAGGGACAAGTATAACACACACACAGTGGTGGATATCCCTCCAGCCCTTGCCCTGAAGCCACACAGCTCAGTTTCTCCTTGTATGTCTCTGGCACTCCCTGGCCACTGTCCTTCTGCAGGATTCCAGGGTGCGTGTCTGTGAGTGAAAGTTTTTGTGCAGGCTCTTTAAGGGAATGCCTGGGTGTCCAGCAGCATTCTGTCTCATCCAAATGGACGGAATCCTTGCTGATTTTCATAGCCAGATGTTATGTGGGATCCTCTTTCCTGCACTTGTGTCCAGGGTTTGGGAGCCTAGCATAGAGCTGAGACCCTTCGCTCCTCAGGGCGGATCTTTGCAGCTGAGAAAAAGCCTCCAGATTCTCAAACACCACATGTGGGTGTAGGGCCAGCTTGTTTTGTGTCTCCATTCATCCTACCAATCTTGACATGGCTTCTTCTTTACATCCTTAGTTATCGAACTTCAGTTCAGTGTCTCCAGCTGGTTATCCAGGCTGATTATTCTATAACTTAGTTGTAATTTTGATGTAGAAATGGGAGGAGGTGAGGGGGGTGTTCACCTTCTCTGCATCTTGACCAGAACCTCTACTATGCCTTGAAGAATAGCTTATATACAGAAAGTCACCAGAAGTTTTTCCTATGAACAAATATACACTTCCCTAGTTTTTTCTCACCACCTACTTCAAGTCTTCCTCCTTAGTGCAGACTAAACGTCCAGAGCCATTCTTGGGGATCTGCTGTGGCTCGCAGACCTAAGAGCAAACATGTCTCATGATGCTTTATTTTCCTGTCACAGAGGGCATTAATTTCCCATTGCTGCTGTAACAAATTACCACAAACTTAATGGCTTAAAACAACACAGATTTATCCTCTTACAGCTTCACTGGGCTTAAAGGTCAGACCTCAGCAGATACGGTCTTTATAGATGCTCAGGGAGAGGATTTGATCCCTTGCCCATCCCAGCTTTCAGAAGCAGCCTGTATAGGCTCATGGCCCTGCTCCTCCATCCTCAAAGCCAGAAGAGGAGCGTTTTCAAGTCATTTCTTCTCTGTTCCTTTGCTTTTGTCCTCTGTCTGACCTGTTGCTTCACTTTTATAAATACCTCATGATCATATAGGACAATCCAGGGTAATCTGCTGATCTCAAGATCCTTAATTTAGTCACATGGCAAAGTCCCCATTATGATGTAAGGCAACATCCACAGGTTTGGGGGACTGGGACATGGGCATTTTGGAAGATCATTGTTCAGCCCACCCCACAGAGTAAGGAACAAACACACATTGTTGTACACATATGTCAACAAATCAATTAGCAAATACTTAATAAACACTATCTGCCAAGCTTTAATAGAGGAAGTATAGAAAACATGTATCAATATAAGACATGTTCTCTTCCCTCTAAGATATCACAATATTTTAAGAAACAGGAAACTAATATTCATAAAACAATTATATTCTAAACTCTAGAGTATTAATTATAAATGCCACAGGGCCACAGAAAACTCATGTGAGTTGTATTGGTTGGAGCGTTCAATGAAGTTTAAGTGGGGAAAATACAGAGACTTAAAACAGATATGCAGAATATAGATGGAGAAAGAAGTGAGGGGGGGAAAGAAGTAATTCTAAGTGAGCTGGACCACAGTAGCCAAAGTGTGGGCACAGGAACAAAGTAAGGCTGAGGAACACAGAGATTCCCCTAAATCAGGGGTCAAACAGACTATGGGCTACAGGCCAAGTTCAGTCACTCGCTTGTTTTCATGAATAAAGTTTTATTGGGACTCAGCTACACTCATTTGATTTATGGCTTCTTTCATGCTACAGTGGCAGAGATGAGTAGTTGCAATGGAGATCACATAGCCCGCAAAGCCTAAAATATTTACAGTCTGGAGTTTCACTGAAAATTTTTTTTTACCAACCCAGAAGAATACTTACTAAGGCTCTTGAGCAGGAAAAGCACTAGAAAGGACTCAAAGCAGAGACACAGCAATGAGGAAACTAATCCAGCTGAGGCTGCTCTTTAGTTTAGCTCAACACAATGTTTTCTGTGCTCAAAACTTCCACCTGGCACTAGAGTGCTAGGCCTTCTCCCGAAGTCTGCATTGGGTCCTCTGGCATAAAGCCGACTGACTGGTGGAGGCTGGCTTAAGAGAGAGGCAGGTGAAGGCACAGACAAATGCAAGGCAGTGGCTTAGGTGGCTAGTTCCCCGTTCNGGTGGAGGCTGGCTTAAGAGAGAGGCAGGTGGAGGCACAGACAAGTGCAAGGCAGTGGCTTAGGTGGCTAGTTCCCCGTTCCTTGGGCAAACCAGGCCTAGTTTCCATATCTCTGTTTCTTCCTGTGGAATACAAAGTGAGTCATCTCAGCCTTTATCTGCAACCCTGGGCTCTTGAGAAGGTCTCATGGATGACAAGGACCTCTGACACAACCTCGAGAGGAAGTGGACTCCGACAGCCCGGGATGTATATTTTTTCATTGTTGTTTCAAGGGGCCAGGTGAGTCTGTGTTTATTCAGAGTGTAAACATGTGCCTCCTGTAAGGCCTTAGTTTGCCCCTTTCCACTCTTCTGATGCAGCACCTGTGCCAGCCACACTTTTCATAAAAGCCCCTCGTAGGTCAGAAGAAGGACTGGATAAAAGACAGGGCATGGACCAGTCAGCAAAAGCCTTCCCAATCCTAACATCAGAGCTTATTTGTACTCTTGACAAATATCTGCTTCATGCATAGACTGTATAGGAAATAATAGGAAAAAAAGGTTTGTGTCCCCAGGAGCTTGTAGCCTAAATGAAGAATCACCAGAAAGTCCCGAGGAACAGTTAAGTCAGACAAGAAGGCAAGACGCGGCCGTGGATCAGGAAGGGGCTTTCCCTAGAACATGACCACACTGGCGCCCTGATCTTGGACTTCCCAGCCTCCAGAACCATGAGAAATACATTTCTGATGTTTCTAAGCTGCCGGCCCCTCCGTCTGTGATATTTTGTTGCCACGGCGAGAATGGCCCGACGCAGGTGCTCACACTGCACTTCTAGGGAGCGCTGGGTCTGCAGGCTGCCCGTGACGGCGGGGTGCTCCACCTGGCAGATGACGGGCACACCATCGTCCTCCCTGCGCACCTTCAGCACCAGCTGACTGGTCACGGTGTACGTGTCCGACCACTCCTCCACCTCCGATTGGCCTTTTAGAGCCACACACCCCAATCCAATTAAAAAATGGCCAAAGGACCTGAATAGACACTTCTCCAAAGAGGACATACAGGTGTCCAAGAGACATATGAAAAAATGCTCAATGTCACTAGTCATCAGAGAGGTGCAATTTAAAACCCCAGTGAGATACCACCTCACACCTGTCAGAATGGCTCCATCAACAAATCAACAAACGACATGTGCTGGCGAGGGTGTGGAGAAGGGGAACCTAGTGCACTGTTGGTGGGAATGCAGACTGGTGCAGCCACTATGGAAAACAGCATGGAGTTACCTCAAAAAATTAAAAATGGAACTGCCTTATGACCCAGTGATTCCAGTTGTGGGAAATTCAAGGAAACCCAAAACACTAATTTAAAAGAATATATGCACCCTTATGTTCATAGCGGCGTTATTTACAATAGCCAAGATTTAGAAGCAACCCAAGTGTCCATCAGTAGATGAGCAGATAAAAAAGCTGTGCTGCATTTACACCTTGGACTACTACTTGGCTGTAAAAAAGAAGGAAACCTTACCCTTTGTGACAGCATGGATGGGCCTGGGGAGCATTACGCTAAGTGAAATAAGCAGTCAGAGAAAGACAAGCACCTGATTTCACTCTAATGAACAACATGAACTAACAGGCAAATGGGGACAGAATCATAGATAGAGAGTAAGCTGACAGCTCTTGGTGGTTGGAGGGCTGGGTGGCGAAGTGGAGGGACAGAGCAAAAGAGAAAAAAGAGAGAAAAAACTCATGGACATGGACAACAGGATGGTGACTGCCGGGCGGAGGGGAGGGAAGGCACAGGGGTATAAATGTTGATGGACGGAGACTGGACTGGGGGTGGTGAGCACACAGTACAGTGCACCTGAAACCTTATAATTTCGTTAACTAGTGTCACCCCAATGAATTCAATAAAAAGGAAAAACGGAACAAAAATAAAGCAGAAGCAGAGCGTGATAAAACGTCAGAGCGAGGGGAGCAGGTGGTGCGCAAGGAGGGTTCCCAGAGGGGGAGACGAATGTGACTCAGACGCGCACAGAGCAGTTGGAGGAAGGCCTTGGGGGGGCGGAACTGGACCTGGTGCTGAGAAATGGATCCTATTTGGGCTGGGAAAGTGGAAATGGAAGACATTCATAATGGAAAAAGAATGGCCAAAACTTGGAATCGTAGTTATGAATAAGAGTCCAGAAAAGAAACAACTACTGGGCTAGTATATTGTGCATCCCGCGTGCACAGAGCTGTAGAGAGACCGTCACGCCTACAGCAGCCTTCCTGTGGCTGCGAGGCCCATTCATCACTAAGTAAGCACAGGCGAGGGAGAACCACGGAGTTGTAGAATGGGTACACGGACAGTAACTACCATGGGCGCATTCCCGGGACAGATGGTGGAGGCTCACTAATGAAACAGCGCTAAAGGAAAGGCGGGTGCCCTTTGACAGGACCTTCTTTGATTTTTGCCGACCACTGCTTCCTGCTGCCACCCGAAGGGGAAGGGAAGGGCGTCCCCTCCCTGTTTCCAGCCTGGAGCCGCAGGCCTCGCTCCCTGCTCCCCGCGGGTCCACCGCAGGGGAGCGGTTTGGCCAGGCCACGGACTGATCCTGACTCAAGGATGGGCCACGGTGATGCCTTGGACTCTGTTCATGATTGTTTTTACTTCTGTTATTCCCAAAGCACAGAAGTTCTGCAAGGAACGGAAACAAGCTAAGCCAGATGCGTGTATGTGGCTGTTCCCCGTAACCTTGGTTGTGAGTATATGTCCCCAAAGCACAGTTGACAGCATGCACCAGAGTGAGATGTACTCCAAGTGGGAAAAAACAGGGCTGTGAAGTCACTGCCTTCTTCAGGCAGCACTCCCATGATAAGAATACTAATTATTTTACTCACAGAACTGTGTCTCCCAGACCTAATGATCAGAATCTGGAACCTAATACTCGTGCTCAACCTGAACTTCTACTTCGGGCTTTCTGTGAAGCTGCCTAACCATGGCCTAACGTGTAACCTACCGGCAACACCACGCTCATTCTGCCTTTAGAGTGTTAGAGGCCACGCTGGTGAAAATATCCTCTAGACATGCCCACAGGGTCGCGTATATCACACACATAGAATCACAGCTTTGTCCTGCTTGGAAGGTGTCCTGTCCTTCATAGGGATTTCCTCAGTTCTGGCTTATTTCTGCTTGGTAATCTCATTGGACACTGTTGACTTCTACTTTTCCAAATAGTAACAGATTATATTTTCCAAAGGTAGCTGCAACAATATCCTGCCATCTCACATGCTGTTCTACAAGGCGACCTTGCACCCCATCCATCAGGAGACAATCAAGAGACTGCAGTGACAGTGATGTTTCATGACTTCCGAAGCTAGGTCAGAAGGGGCCACGCACCATCCACCTAGGTCTCTTGGAAAACTCACTTAGGGGCACTGCCTCTGGAACACAGCTGCTATACTGTGCAAAACACGCGCCACGTGGAAAGGTTATGCGCAGGTGTTTGAGTCCATAGGGCCAGTTGAGCCAAGCCGTCAGGCCAGCCTCCAGGCATATCAGTGGCGAAGCCTCCAGATGCAGCCCCCAGATGCTCCCCCAGAAATGGTGGAGCAGAGGCCACTGATCCTTTCAAATCCCTGACTCACAGGATCTCCGATAATGAAATGTTGTTTTACACCATTAAGTTTGGTGTAATTTGTTACACAGCAAGAATAACTGGAAAATGGACCCACAGGTTTGAGATAAAATCACAATCCCTTTGCCACTTCCTTTTTTATATTTGTCCAAAGTCTAGTTTACTCCCAATTAATCGTTTCCAACTTTTTCCTTGAATATGTTAATTATTTTTACTCTTTTCTAGCTCCTTCACTTCTTCGCCCAGCTAGACCTTCATGTTTTTACCCACTGTTAGGTTTTTTGTTCACTAATGAAGAAACTTAAGTCTTCGTAAAACTTTTTGGCATGGCCCAGTCTACTCTGCTCCTACGAGGATTACTAGAAATGCCGTATTTGCTTCTAGGGACATACTAGGAAAATATATGTAACTCGGAATACATTCAACAGGGAGTGACAAAAATGTTTTGGGACTTTAAATTTTGTTATGGAATGATTGAAAGGGTAAGGATAGCTCAAGATGGAGTAAAACTAATAAATTATTCAGGAGATGGGACGCGGTAGTGCATTCGGAATCACTATCATCAGACGTGAGAGCCTAAGAGGAGCATCAATGTGATTTGTCTGGGCTCTGAGGGCAAAACCAGAACCAGTGGATGGAATGACAGATAGATTTTAACTCTATGTAAATACCTACCTAATTAAATGTCTAAAGATAAAGTGGACCATTGTAGGAAGCAGTGAATTTCCCATCACTGGATGTTTGAAAGCAATGACTAAAGGTCTACTCAGTAAGAATATTGTAGAGAACATTTCTGCATTGAAGAGGAGGAAGCAGAGGCAGGGATGCTGGGAGAGAGGACTTTTGTGGTCCCTCCTAACTCAGGATTCTATGAATACATTTTTACTTTATTTTATTTTATTATTTTTATTTTATTTTATATGGCTATTGACATCAACAGCAAGTTTTGCCAGAGGCATGAGTTTTTATAAACTGATCAAGCTTTGGGGTGAGTAAACTAGTCAACTCAGTGGAAAGGACCCACCGATCAGGATAAAAACAAGCAGAAGGTAAATGAGTGAGACACGTCTTAGAGGGAGGGTTGCCAAGTGTAACTAAGTCAGCTTTGATTTTGGTTGGAAGGTGAGCAGAATGTGGCCGCTGGAGCAATGTGAAGTAAGGACATGCGGTAGAATCGAGGAGGGGATTTGGGTTAAGAACCTGTGAGCCAACACAGCTGTTCTGCCCAGGAAGAGAGTCCAGGTCTTTTGGGGGCACACTCAATAACAGAACTAAACTCATTAACAAAACCAAAAAGTTAAAAGTGATGTTGGCTTTAATGGAAGTGAGCAGACAGCTGAAAACACCTACAGAAGAACTGATTTTTGCAAGTTAAGAAACAGCACCACCTACCCAAGCAGAGCCTAAGGGTCAGAGTCAGTTGTACTTACGTCCCAGGGCTGCTGTAATAAAGAACCACAAGCTGTGTGGCTTGAAATAACAGAAATGTGTTCTCCAGCAGCTCTCAAGGTGCACGAGGGCCATGCTTCCTCTGAGGGCTCTAGAAAGAGTCCTGCCTTTACTTTTAGCTTCTGCTAGTTGCTGGCAACCCTTGGTGTTGCTGCTGCATCACTCCAGTTTCTGCCTCCAGCTTCAATGGCATCCTCATCAGGCAGTTTCTCCCTTTGCATGACCTTCTTATAAGGACGCCAGTCAGGGGACGTAGGACCCACCAAATCCAGTATGATCTCATCTTAACTATTTACATCAGCAAAGAAAAAACCCTATTTCCAAATATGGTCACTTTCTGAGGTTCCAAGTGGAACATGCATTTTGGAGGTGGGGGGGGGGCTACACAACCCAGTGCAGCTGGAAAACTAAATTTTTGTTAAATAGTGCTTTAAACTAGTTGAAAATAGAGAGAGAGAGTCATCCTTTGTGACTACCTGTTAGTCTTATTTGAAAAGTTGTGATTTACGGCTTTCCTCTTCAGCGCACTGATAGCTGACGTTTGCTGAATGCTCCCTGTGAGCCTCCTTCTGTCCCAAGTCCTTCACATGCACTCTGGTCCTTAATTGTCACGAGATGGGGGTGGTTATCAGCCCCACCTCACAGAAGAGGCGGCTGAGGCTTCGAGAGGACCAGTAACCTGCTGGAAGTCGCTTCATAGGAGAAGCCAGGACAAGGCCTCAAGCCAGAGCCTGTGCTGAAGGACTGACGAGATGGGTAAGCGATTCCCGCCTAATGCATATTCATCCCGCTATCTTTCTGAAGCCATGTTTATATTAGCATGACAATTGGGGGAAATATATGCATTAATCTAATCTGCCTGGTAAGGACCTTATCTTTTCAGCGTTTGTTATCCTGTACCTCGGGGCACCTACGCTGG